ACACTCGTTTTCAGGTAGCGTTGTTGTTCGAAATACTAGTTTTTTTTTATTTTTTGTAGTAACCTGGTGATCAGATGAGTATTATTCAAGATGTTACCGATAGTTTCCTTGTAAAATCGAGCAGTAATTGCTTCTAGCAGATGAAGTGTTGACTGTTTGCAAGCACTGTCACGGTGTTGTATTCTTTAGAGGGTAAATTTACAACAAAATACGACACTTTACAAGGTTAAAAAATTAAATTTCTTGGTTCTTTTATTTTGCATTGAATTGCGGTATTCCAGGTTGTGAGGAAGTAACAATGTGTATGACCAACATCTACTTGGAGAACACACTGCACGGCAACCTTGACGTTTACTTTAACAGTATTCTTTTGATTAATTTTTTGCTAGATGTTTTTTCTTCTTTAAACATTTCAACGTTCTTTACTTTTTCTGCTTCATTTCAATACATGGTAGTACATGTCTGCTTATACTCAATTTTTTTGCAGAACTAGACAGTCTTGACAACGAAATTATAAGGAAGGATCTAACTTTCTTGCGCGTGGTTTTAGACGAAATTCACATCGGGGAAACTGATGATTCATTAAAGTCGCTTTTTGAATCCAAAGGCCTTTACGGGTCTGTTTCATGACCTTAAGTTTAAATTCAGCTTCTTTCAAGGAGACATGATTAGGATTTGGGATCTTCCAGCAACTGATGGTTGAAAAGCTCTCACTTTCCTCTTTTATAGGTTTATATTGGAATATAAATTCCCAGTGCTTGAATCAGTTTCGAAGACTTTAAAAGATCGTGTTCAAGCTAACGCTAAAAGTTATAGTAACCGCTGCATTCACTTTCGGCACAGAAGGGTGTTTAAATTGAGTCCCGAAAACAAATTATGGGCCCTTTGGAAGGAGAGCAGCGTTAGGTTCTTGCTTTATGGCCAGTTAAATGCCCCTGGCAAATTTACGGCTAGTTTTTCTGTACTAGTAAATCAAGAACTCTGGTCTATCAACAGCTTAGTTGCTTAAAAAAACATTCAAGGAAGGGTACTGAGGAATATTACTTTTCTGCCCTTGTTGGAAAGTCTTGAAATTAACTTCCACATAGTATTTTTAGAAGAAAAGACTGGGCCATTGTGATGTTCCGCTCTACAAATTGTTGACTGTTCCCTTTGCAATATGTCAAGATTTTTTATTCGCAGGGCTTGGATTTACTGGATCAGCAAATGTAACTTTTTACTTTTCTTTCGTTTCAATGTTAGGTCCAAGGAATAAGATGGCAGGAACAGATTTTTTTTTTAAAATTGGCAGGAAGGAGACATAACTCAGAGTTCAAAAAATTGGTTCAGGCTGAAAGACTAGTTTGTAGTAACTTACTCAAAGGTTTTTCCCATAATCTGCCTGTTTAACGTTGTCTTGCCGCCACGCGTCACTTGGTGTTTTCAGCTTAGAATAGAACTGGGATCGCATGTTAGATCCCTGATGGAAAGGTTAGACGCGCTCCGATTTCATCGTTCGAGGCAGCCAAGTAAATCTGGAATGAAGAAGGCAGTGAAGTCGCTTGACCGGTCAAACATCACGGTCGACAAGCAGCAAGAGAGAAGACGGAGTGTACCATATACGAGATCGTCGAGCGGTCATTCTTTGTCCCCTGTCAGAGGTAATTATAAAGAAAAATTCTATTCCTCCCAACACCTTGGTTAGGGATATGTTTTTTAATAAGTCCATTACATAGAATCACAGCTGTTTGCTTCCTTAAATTGGTTAGTTGCCATGATCCTGGCCCTTCTGGTCGTTTTGCAGCGATGAATGGTCGAGTATCCTCAGCAAGCCCAAGTTGCTCGGCTTCTGGTCCACAGCTAGTACCTCAACAAACCTTATTACCTGAGAACTATACTGTTGATCTCACAGTCCATTCTGCGCGTCGATTATCGTCACTAAAGAGAAAAAGGTTGTACATTTTCTCTGTATTAAACTGGGACATTTAACCTGTCTGCTGAGTTTGCGTGCCGTACTGAATGTACTTTACGTTCACTATTTGCATCACTCAATCTTGATTTCAAAAACTAAATTTAATGCTTTACAGTGGTGAAGCTGCTCCTTCTACTTATGTGTCCGTTATTGCAAACGACGGCCACGTATTATATTCTCCATTGTGCATCAATTCTTACGAACCAAAATTTAATTGGACTCAAAGTTTTGAGGTTAGAAGTTAAATTCATGCATAACTTATTGCCTTCTGGTACATACTGATATTCTTCTTGCAAAGATTCACCTGCGGACCAGCTTATACGTCCAAACTTAATTAAACTTGAGGAAGGTGACGTTATTTATCCTTTCAGGTATCGAGTAAGCGTCAAAACTTGGTAGTAAAATTATGGAGGAAGTGTTCATCTGATAGCGGCAAGGTCATAGGTTTCGTGTCTATACCGTTGCCCCCAAAAAATCTTTCTCAGATTGAATATGAAATGTCTAGTCTGGTGGACGACTTGGAAACGCCCATTGTGAAAGTAGGGTTTCAGAAAAAAACACCCTGCTTTTTTTTTGACGCAGTCACTAAGTATTTCAGATTTCTTTGGCTCTGTCTAATGACCAGGACACACCGGAATCGCTCATTTCATCTTCGTCACTTTCACAGTTTTCGCGAGAAGAGATTTCTGAGAGGCTTAAGTACATCTTGTTAACTAAAAACTTAAATAGTCGAATACTGAACATTCCACCAAGCTCCCGATTGTTTTTCTGTGTTGAAATCTGCTAGTGATAAGTTACACACCTTATATTTAGGAAAGACTTGTTCGATCTGGAAATACTTATGCAAGAACTACAGACTTGAGGAGCGTGCAGTCCAATTTGAAAATTTTTCAGGGCGTCGATGTCCGTGTTCATGTTTAAGCCAACGGTACTCGAGTTTTAATGATGAATGAATTTGTACATTGAGCATTGATAAAAATTAAATTATGAAATGTAACAATGTACCCTTCGAAGGGGGGCATACTCAACAACTGATTTACAAGCCAATGGTTAAAGTACTATAAGCACTTAGTTTTGAAGCATTTCTTACTAAGTTTTTCTACTACAGGCAGGCTCTACGACCGACTACTCAATCGACTCGTTAGACGAACTGGAAGGAACTGCTGATTTAGCAGGTACCTCATCTCCCACGTCAAGCTCAGCAAAATCTTCATATTCTGTTTGCATATTCAGTGGAGTATCGACCTCATCAATGTGAGGCATTAAACGTTGAGGACTAGTTGTCTTTATGACTTCATCTTCACCTGGGATTCTCTCCAAACTTTCTTTTTGCTGTCGTGCAACTGGAGAATGCCGACTCTTCTCGCGAATCACCAGTGGACGTCTACTTCGTGATGCAGAAGCTCTCTTTCCTACAAATTCGTCACCACTTGAGTCAGACCCGTCGATAGTTGGGAACTCTAGACCACTCATTAACTCGCTCTCGTCTTCTAAATTTTAAAGAACAAATTAGGAAAGATGAACTGAAAGTGTTATGTGTTTGCAAACAGGCAGGCCCCCCTAGGTCCACCGAAAAGTTTCAAAGCATGCTTTTGACAAGCAGAAAAACAGCTGTATGTCTGATAACTTGGCACCGGAAAGTGGAGTTGGCGGACGGCTTCTCACATTATTTTCTTCTTTATGGGGCTCGTTAGTTGTTTGCGGTGCGCACAGATCTTCGTCTTCGGGGAGAAACCCATCTAACTCTGTGTCACTGTCATCTAAACTTGCCAGTGTAAACTTTGCCGAAAGAAGAGAACAAATACATTTGTCACCGCTTTTTTCCTTATTATATAAGAACTAAATTGTTGGTGAATGCGTTTTCCACTTAATCTGATTTCACAAACTTTGGTATGAGGGCTCTAACGAAGTTTAAAAGAGAACTGAATGAACTTTTAAAGTTAAAGAAGTTCCATGTGGAAGCAGGCGACATATAAAGTGAAATCCTATGAGAGTTCTGACATGCCGTTGCCGAGAATAACATTGCGTAAACGCTTACCACAAAACGGAGACTTTTCTGGTATGTGGTTGATGATTAGAGTGCAGGCAGGAGCAAGAACATTTATTAGAATATAGTCCTCACAAAACTTGTACTTCCAATACAGGTAGTCAGTTATTGGTTGCAACACTGTGGCTTTCATGTACTTACCAATCTGGAAATTGTTTAGGGTGCAGGGGGAAGTTTTACAGTTCGAATCACTAAAGAACTTACCTTTTGAAGGATATCAACAATTAACATGCAGACGGGCCACAGAACACTGTCCTTTATCTTCACCGCCAGCTTGTGCAGTAACTCTCTTAAGATCACAGTAAGGTCTTTCAACCGGTCCCCGCCCCAACTGAAAAGAAAATTTTGTTTGTCATCCAATTGCTGGAACAGAACATATTCATTTTGGAAATAAAGATTCCCTTGAAAACCAAATTTATTGACATGTGAACCTTTTTTTGGGGATGGAAAAGCATCGAACAAAATATGCAAGATGTGTGTTATTAACGGCAACTACTTTTAAAACAAAGGACTTACTTCATCACTGGTAGCAGGATAACACGCTTCAGATGACTGAGAAAGTGTTTCATGGATTCCCAGCCGATCCTTGTAAGCTCACGGATTTTTCTTATTAGAAAAGTAGCTACAGGGCGGAACCAGTAAAAGCAGAAGATGTACACGAGGCCAAAACAAAAATAATTGAAACCTTTCTCCAAAGGTCTAGTGATGTTCTCTTTTATCCAGCCTTTCAGTCCAGGCCACCAGTGCGCACAAAACCAGTAAATTACAAATGACTTGACAGCAGCCCAAATTTTCCGTGCCGGGCAAAGGACATATCTTCCGATTAGAGAGGAAGAGAAATGTACAACGTTGAGGATATAGGTCTTTAATGCATGAAAAAAGTTGCTCGACAAGTAAATTAAAGAATGCAAAATATTTAGATAGATTGCTTTCAGCTTTCGCGCCAAATCAAAAACATAATTAACGGTAGCCTTTTCTACGGAATAGACCATACTTATAAAAGCTCTCCATGTGGCCATAATGCCATTGATAATACCAAAGTATATCGTCGCCAAAACAGCAAGAATGCTATCGCGTATGCAGCGGAAGCTGAAGAGGAAAAATTCGCGGATCGAAAATGCTCCAGAACTAATGCTATTCCTAATCTTTATTACAAAAGCAATGAATCCGCGGTATAATCCAGTAACTCCATCAGCAAGTTTCCTCCAAACAGTGTAAAATCCATTCGCAATACCTCTCCATGTCATCTCACATGCATGAATGATGCCAAAGAATATTGCGCTACAACCCCTCACAAAACTGCACCAGAGCGATGTAAGGGCATTACGGAACCTTATATAACAATTTTTGGCTTTTTCCGTCACAGTATTTACCAACGAGACGTAATGTTGATATGTCCATCTCCTGGCCTCCAAAACCGTCTCTTTTCCCCATGTATAAATAGCTGGAAAATAAAAGAAGTCAGATCAGAACAGCGAGTATATCAACGGATCATAACTCCTGACACACAGCCTTAGGGGGCAGCCTAACTGAAATGCATTTCCTAATATCTCAAATTCAAACCATATCCCAAAAGTCAAGCTGGTTGTTAAAATAAAAAGTTTCTAACTAATAAAAAATTTAGGAAACGAAGACTTACTTTAAAGATGATTTGGAAAATAACAAACAGGAATCGCTCGTTAAAATTACAAAAGATTTGTCAAAACTCTTTCGCATAATCTGGTCAACAACATTCAATAAAGAAAAACCAAAACTATTATAAACAAAAACTTAACGTCGTAATAACAAGCTTGTCCCATGTCGAACAAAAAGTTGAAAAAAACAAAGTCCAAGAATAAATAAGTTCATCAGCAGTTGTTACAAATCTCCATTAAGTATACAAAAAAAGATTCATTTGAAAAGTAGATATTAGAAGTCATGAAAGAAGAGAAGACCGGAATGAATTTTAAATAGCGGTCAGGTGCTTATTGTGATGTTTTCGTAAACTGGGAAATACTAGTTTGCTTGCCTATTCTTACACTTTTAGATTTCACCCTAACCGCGCAAAATTATTCTTCTGCTGATAACAAAATCCACTGATTAATTTCTCCAAACAACTTTTTAACGGGTTATTTTCATAAGTAACTGTAAAAATTTTCTCATGAATCCTCAAAATCTATTTAAATTCTTCTAGAGGATAATAATAAATGTAAAGTTAATGTCTCAGGACAACGCACAAATAATACAAAAAAGCTGCAAAATGAACTTGAAAAGTTACCTCCCAGCCACTTCAGTAATACG